TGAGATACCACCTAACTCCAGTCAGAATGGCAATTATCAACAACTCAAAAAATAACAGCTGCTGGAGAGCGTGTGGTGAAAAGGGAACACTCCTACACTGCTGGTGGGAATGTAAACTAGTGCAACCTCTGTGGAAAGCAGTATGGCGACTCCTAAAAGCTCTAAAAATCGACCTTTCATATGAACCTGCAATCCCCCTACTGGGAATATACCCTGAAGAACTCAAATCACTCTATAGAAAGGATACCTACACACGTATGTTTATCGCAGCATTATTCACAATAGCAAGAACCTGGAAACAACCATGCTGCCCATCAAAAGAGGACTGGATTAAAAAATGTGGTACATATACATGATGGAATACTACACAGCCATAAAAAAGAGCAAAATCATGAATTTTGCAGCAACCTGGATGGAACTAGAGTCTATAATACTGAGTGACCTCTCACAGAAACAAAGATCCGAGTATCACATGTTCTCACTCATATAATGGACCTTGAACATCCAATGTAATACTATAAGAAAATGACTGACGGTACTGGGAAACTATGGGGCGGGGGATGGGAATAACAGTAGCAAATATCTGTCTGGGGATGGGAAAACACCTCTTATCAACAGGGTGCCTGAATGAAACGTAATTGTACACCTAACCCTTAACTGTACCCCACAAAACCATAATAAAAAATATTGATTATAAAAAAAAATAAAAACTGAGATTCCTTCAGCCATAAAAAAAACCAAAAACAAACAAACAAACAAACAAAAAATTTTTATCTGCTTGCTTACAATAATTGGAGATGAATGTTGTTGAAGAATAGATTCCACATGGGTTATACTTATCTTTGTATTCTTGACTCATACTTTATACATGAGTAATAAACAAGTAGTATAGTGATAAATGCTATTGGCAAAAAAATCTTATATACTTTTTATTGGCATATTGGTTTTTTGTCTTTATTAATTTATTTTACTTTTATGAGGTTTAAGTCAAGAAGCAAACTTCATCTCGGAAAAAACATGAAATACAGAAAGAAATAATTTAGATAAGGGCTAAGTGACATCTGAAATTGATGGATACCCCAAAAGAGCCCTAAATTTGATATTACAATAATTTGTCAGCTCATTTATCCAGCAGTACTGTTAAACTTTCCTAATTCATTTAGTCTCCTTGACAACTTTTTCACACTTCTCCCTCTTCAAACTTCCTGTCTCCAGTACCTCTTCCCATTCCTCATTGTCAATTAATTTACCTCATTGCCTATGTCACTGAGAAAGGTGGAAGCAATTTGAAGAGAGCTTTTATATACTTCCTCCAATGCATCAACTATTTTACTTGTATCTAGACCCATGTAGTCATTTCCTTGCTCTCATGAATACACTGTCTTTGCACCCAAGACTAGCCTTTATTTCAATCTCTCTCACAGACCTTGCTCCAGCAACGATGACCTTTCCCTCTTGCATTTTCAGTCTTTCCCTCCCTACTAGATCGTTCTCATGATTATACAAATATGCTGTTATTTTTCCCATCTTAACAGCGTGGAGCAAACAAAAATCTCTTGGCCCTTCTCCAAATACCATCTCATTTCTCTGCCTCTCTTTGCAGCAACATTTCTAGAAAGAGTTGTCTATGCCACTGTCTACTTTCTTTCTTGAAGCTGTTCCAGGCAGGCTTTCTGCTCTACTACTTCACCAAGACGACTCTTGTTAAGGTCACAGTGACTTTTACTGTAACCAGTAATCAATTTTAGTTCTTATGTAACCTGTCAGTAGAACTTGACCCTCTCTTTGAACACTTTCTTCTGTTGGCTTCTAGGACATGTCTTCATCTTGATTCTCTTCTGATTTTATTAGCTGCTCCTTCTCAACCTCCTTACAGGCTCTCCCTCTTCTCCTCAGCTTCTTTAAGTTGGGTGTACCCTAGCTCTCAGTCCTCAGGGCTATTTTCCATCTACTGTATTGTCATTTAGTCTCAAGACTTTACGTTTATCTCTCCCCTTTCCCTTTAATGTCTAATTGCCAATCAGGACATCTACATCAAGTAGTCCTAAACCGAACTCTTGCTTTCCACCCATTCCATCCAAGTCCCCAACAAAATCTCCTTCTATAACTTCTTTTTAGTTTAAATGGCAGATTTGTTCTTCACATTGATTAGCCAAAAAACTTTGCCCCCTTAGCAATATTGTCTTCAGAGAGAGAGAGAGAGACAGAGAGACAGAGACAGAGACAGAGAATCTAACTACTTCTCATCACCTGTTGGTACCCAATATTATTTTTTTGGCCTCGATTTTGCAAAAGAACATTTCTTCATTTCTGTCTGTTTCCACCCTTGCTTTGCTCTGTTCTTTTCTCCATACAATAGCCAAAGTAAGTGATAAAAACATGAATCAGGGCATGGTGGCTCATGCCTATAATCCCAACATGCTGGGAGGCTGAGATGGAAGGATTACCTGAGCCCAGACTGCCAAGTCTACAGTGAGTCGTGATAGTGCCACTGCCCTCCACCCTGAGTGACAGAATGAGACTCCGACTTCTATGACTTTCATCAGTACAACTTCTTGTCCACCTTTCTTTGTTTTATTTTTTCTCCATAGCACTGAATTAACATCTGCTATATTACGTATCTACTTGCTCACTTGTTTGTTAACTGTTCTCTTTCACTAGAATTGTAAACTCTGACACTGACTTTGTATATTCTGTTTACTGCTGTGTCACCCACCCTGGAACAGTACATGGCATGTATACATTGGTGCTTAACAAACACTTGTTAAATAAATTAATTTAAAATATATCATTTGATTTTAAAAAAAGCACTTGCTTTTGATGCTCAGTTTTATTCAAGTCTGGAATTTCGTCACCTACGTTTTATTTTTTTGTGTCCTTCATGTCCTTACTCAGAATCAATATCACAAATAAAGAAACGGAGACTCAGGGAGGTCAAATGAATGAACCAAAGTCATGTAACTAATAATTGGTGCTTTTTCCATCCCACTGCAAAGACCTCAAAAGTATCCATCTTAAGTACATTTTAAAAAATTATTTTATCCCCTGCCAGACAGGACTGTCTTATGTCTTGTCAAGTTTACTACAATTAAAATACCATGGCAAAAAATATTGAATACATGTCTTATTTCACATAGGTTTTGATAGTTTAGTTTGAATCTCAGTTACTGAGACATTTCTATGAAAGTCTTTCCATTTTCCTTTAGTTAGTATATACTTTATTTCTTTCAAGTTCTTGCTTCTGAGAAATTGAGGACTAATTCATAGTAAATTCAACAAGTCTACCTATTTTGAAACAACTTTTAATTGAACTAATTAAGTCAGAATTTATCAGAAATATCTGTTATATATGGCATTTTTACTAGTTGATTTAATATTCATATTTTTACAATATTTTAAAAATTCTACTTTTGCTTTTTTATGTTGCAAGTTTTTCCAATGATTTTTTTAAAACTTTTTATTTTTATGTTATTTTTAAAGTATTTTTAAGGATGTCGTTGTCAAAATGATATTAAAATACCTCAAAGCAATAATAAAGATTTCTCCAAGATTTTAAACTTCATTTTATAGAATTATAACCATGTTATTTAGTTCAGAGGCTTTCATATAATTCTAGTATCAGTTCTGTACTTTGAATTTTATTTTATGAAATGCATGCTCGTTTTTTTCAAAAATGTATTTTTCATCTATTTCACTACTAGGACATCAATTTATGGTACTTATTCTACCTAAAGTTAGAAGATAGCTATTGATGAATGAGTTTTTCTTTCCCTTTCCAGTAAGTTTCCTCCAAGCCTATATGCTGCCAGGATTTCTAAAGCATACCAGGAGGAAGTAGCAGGTACTTTCCTAGTAACCTTGGATCCACTTGTCAGTCAACTGCTCACAGTCCAGCCTTTTGTGCTTGTGGTTTTGGACAGTAAATTAGGTGAGTTTGAAAGCAGATTTACTGTTAAATCATTTCTTGTTAATTATGACATGTTAAAGACATACTGATTTCCCCTAAAGTAGTCATTCTTTCTTAGAGTTTTAAAAGTATTATTTAAAATTTCTTTTACTTTTCTTTTTTTCTTCTTTTTTTTTTTTTAATCACCCAGGCTGGAGTGCAGTGACATGATCATGGCTTATCGCAATCTTGACCTCCTGGGTTCAGGTGACTCTTCTGACAGCCTCTCGAGTATCTGGGACTACAGATACCACCATGCCCAGCTTATATATATATATACTTTTTCTTTTTTGGTAAATGAGGTTTTGCTATATTGCCTAATCTGGTCTTGAACTCCTAGGCTAAAGCAGTTCTCCTGCCTCAGCCTCCCAAAGTGCTGGGGTTACAGTCATGAGCTATTGTACCTGGCCTTTCTTTTCTTGAAACATATTTATCGTTTTAAAAAATTATGCCTCTAGTTTCTTTACATATCAGATTTTTGGCTGAAAATATTTGGAGTATGTTTTTGTATGTTTGTTTTAACCTAATTAATGTGTTTTTATTGCCTGTAAGACCTGCCATGTGAGCTGCAGTTCCCACAATGTCTGCTCTTGGTTGCTATCATGGATAAACTGCCCTCTCAGTCTGAGGATGTGCAGTCCCTGTGGTGCACAGAAATCCAGATCTCGGAAGCTACAGCCAGGTAGCAAATAAATGCTCTATTGTTTGGAATGCTCTTACAATGAAGTTTTTTGCTATATCGAGTATTCCATTAGTAGTTATTGTGTACCTCAGATATAGCTACTTTATAAAAATAGATAAATATAAACCTGTATTATATGCTATCGATATTTTAATGTTAATTTTGTTCAGTATTGCCTAATAGTTAGAATTATAAACATTGATTAATAGAGTAGATATAAGTAGTGTAACAGGTGTCTTCTGTGAAATGTCTCTTGGAATTGTCCTCCTCACCAACACTGTCACCCAGACTCCAGTTTCTTACTCCATGCTCTAATTTTTCATTGCTTCTTTTGCCCATTCTATGTATCATTAGAAGGTCAGTCTCCTTAAACCTAGCTTGCTTCTTATTCTGTTCAAAACCTGAAGCATAAGGTCAGAATGCCTTGACTTTGTATGTAAAACCCATCCCATGGTGCTGACATCTTCTCCTTTTGCTCCTCATCCTTTCATTCATTTTCACCAAATACACCTCACTCTTAGATGGATTATTTATGTCAGTTCTTTTACTCAGTACTTTGCCTTCTTTACCTATTTATACCTTGCCTATTTTTAATTTGTTTTTTTAAGTTCTCTGAAATTTCTTCATTTTGATCTTAAACGACGCTTCCCTGTCTGAACTATAATACTTATTTTTTGTTTTACATATAATATCCAAGTTAGTTATTTAAGTTTCAAGTTCCTTGAGGAACTTTATCTCTGACCTTGTATAACTCAGCACTATGATAAACAGTTAATAAATAAACGATGAAAACAAAATACCCAGCAAAGTTTCTCTCCTTAAAGGAATTTCTTTAACAGGGAAAATATTTGTATGAGTACATATTCACACATAATTGAAAACTGTTGTTTATGGTAACTCTTGAGATACTTTGCTAAAATAACCCTTCATGTGACATTATTATACCTGCTAGCTATTAAATGTTAATAATGTTGGATTCAGTGTTCTCAATTTCCCTGCAGGATATCTCTACTCAAAGCCATTTTCTACAGTTTTGAGCAGTGTTCTGGTGAACTCTCTCTACCTGTTCATGTACCAGGAGTAAAGAGTAAGGGGCAGGCTGAGGAGCCAGTCACCTTGTATCATCACATCTGTATTCATCTGTGTACATTTATTGCTTCCTTTCAACCCTCACTGTTTGCTGAACTGGTAAGTCTGCTAACTTATAGTGCTAAGCTGAGATTACAGTTGCTTTCTTTTCATTGAACTGTGATTCAGATACAGAAGAAATTAAAACATGTATTCCTTTTGGATACCATTCTTCAAGCTTGCATACTTTATCCTGTAATTCGGATGTGTCCTAGAAAATGACAATTCTACATTCCTATAGTATTTAGATCTAATATTTGGGTAAAATATTTGAGAAAACATTTTGGGTGGGGAGGTATGGAAAAACAATGTGAAGAGAGAAAAAATATGTAGGATTTTACCCACTAAGTTTCATAAAGAAAAGAAGTAAATAGTTGTAGGTAGTATCGAGCCGCCTATAGATCTTAGGCATAATGTAGATTAAAAAAAAAGAATTGGATTAGAAAAGAGGTTGAGAAAACTAGGAAAAAATTCCTAGAATTTACGTAAGGATCAGTATCATTTAGATGTTACACAGCTTATATCTAGCACCTATGAAATACTGTATGTGACTAGTTAAAGGCAGAAATAAAAGAATAAGCATAAATGTTATTTATGTTGCTCTAAAAATTTCAGACTACTTGGAGAATCTTTGTGGATGCTGGTGATTGAGTTACCACATTTAAAACCATGTTTGAATCCCCATGGCGCAACACAATACTTAATATATAGTAGGTGCTCAATAAATATTGGTGAAATGACAGTGTAGTATTCAGATACTAGACGGTAGAACTTTCGCATTGCAGATCTGTTATTTGGATTCTGAGAGTACTTTCTTGTTTTACTTTGAGAAATGTAGTAGTAATGGTAATTTGTTGTGAACTGTAATATTTAATTGAATTGACATTTCTGTTTTTCATTAGGATGCTGCTCTGTTGGATGCTGTACTCAGTGCGAGTATGATCACCTCTTTGTTAGCTATGGATGCATGGTGCTTCCTTGCTCGGTACAACATACTTGCTTTTTTGGTGTTTGGGTTGGTTATTAGTAGTGACTGACAGCAAATGATTCTACAATTGTAAGTCTGTAGAAAAATTGTGTTTTATAATAATCTTACAAATAGTTTGATTTCATATCATTGAATTAGAAAGCAAGTTCTTCTTGTTTCTTTGGTATAAGCCAATAGATAAGTATTGCTTAGGTCATTTTATATATTGTGATATTCCTTGGCCATGGAAATAATGGCAGTTTTTAATGTCCTCATCACAATGCTTAGCACTTTATGGAAGCTATCTCCTTGTGTTTCTAATTGTAAAAACCCAGTTACCCTCTCTTTATATCACAGATTTGGGACTGCTGAACTCTGTGCACACCATGTCACCATAGTGGCTCATCTGGTGAGTAGAATTACAAGGCCTGAAATACCCACTTTCCATGCAGTTCCTTTGGGGCTACGATAATCTTAAAGAATGTGTATATCAGCAGAAGAAATGATACCGTAATTAGCTTGTTTTGACAGTTTCCTTGCTCTGTATTAATGCTGATGCTTTTAAGAAGGCTGTATTAACCCAGGCGTGGTGGCTCACACCTATAATCTCTCCACTTGGAAGACTGAGGCAAAAGGATCACCTGAACCCAGTAGTTTGAGGCTGTGGTGGCCGTGAGTGTGCCGCTGTACTCCAGCCTGGGTGACAAGAGTGAGATTCTAACTAAAACAAACGAACAAAAAGGGTGTATTAAAAATCTATTAGTGTGAAATTGGGGAAATTATTTTCAAAATTTTGTAGAGTTTCAGTAATTGCTCTGGGAAAGAATGGTAATGAAATTGAATTTCTCCTCTTTCTCTTTCATTTCTTAGAAAGCTGACTCTTGATTTTATTTTTTTCAGTCAGGATAATTTGAAAAGGACTAACTTTGATAGTGATGAATGTCTTTGGCAAAAGAAGTAATGTTTTATGATAATTTTTTATATCAATGTTTTATATCATAATGTTTTATGATAATCTTTTAAAGAGAAAAATAATTTAATAATGATTTTTAAAGATCTTTTCAATATTGACAGGTTTTGCTTTTAAATTCTGAGATGTTTTGATGTGTTCTATGTAAGATGGTTATGACCTTTTTGTTATGTATTTTTGTCCCTGGCCTTTGATAAAAATCTTATGTGGGCACATCTTTTTGGTTCTTTTTGAGTCAAGGTCTTACTCTGTCACTCAGGCTAGATTGTGGTGGCACAATCATGGCTCACTACAGCCTCAATTCCTGGACTCAAGTGATCCTCTCACCTCAGCCTCCTGAATAGCTGGAATAGTTGGGACTACAGGTGTGAGCTACTACGCCTGGCTAAGTTTTTGATTTTTTGTAGAGACGAGGACTCACTACATTGCCCAGGCTGGTCTTGAACTCCTGGGCTCAAGCAATCTTCTCACCTAGGTGTCCCAAAATACTGGGATCACGGGTGTGAGCCACCATGCCTGGTCAACATCTTTTGTTTCCTAATAATCTGTCATATATTTCTTGGTTTACCTTTTAAGAATTTTGTAGACCAAAAACATCTATGTCTCTATGGCTAATGGAGTGGATCATCATTTACCCACTTTATTAAATATCTAACACATCTTTCACAAAACAGAAAGAGTGATTTGTTTTTTGAATTGGGGTCTCACTTTGCCAACTAGGCTGGAAGGTGGTGGTAGGATCTTGGATCCTTCTGCCTTAGCCTCCTGAGTAGCTGGAACCACAGGTGTGTGCTACCATCCCTGGAGTATTTTTCGTCTTGCCACACTACCCAGACTGGTCTCCAGCTTGGTCTCAAACAATCCTCCTGCCTCAGCCTCCCAAAGTGCAGGGACTACAGACTTTCAAGCCACTGCACCCGGCCATGATTTTTATGTGCTTTATGTCTCAGTTTTCTTTAAATAAAAGCTTTCTTAACTGCATTCTGATAGGAATTGATATAATTAAATTTATAAAATATTTTATTTTATTTATTTATTTATTTTAAATGGAATGCTTCAAAAATTTGCATGTCATCCTTGAGCAGGGGCCATGCTAATCTTTTCATTCCAATTTTAGTATATGTACAGCTAAAGTGAGCACTGTAAAATATTTTAATAAAGTTTCTATCTTATAAATTATAGACACCTCTGCACTATAGCACTTAGATCTTTAAAAAGTCTATGCATTTTCCTTGAGTAGGAGCATTAACATACCAAGTTATTGTCAAAATAATTAGAAATAGAAATTACAAAGTGTTATTTTAAATGTGTCAAAAGTTCTGTCTCATTGTAAAAGTAATTTAGATTCATTGAAGAAACAAATAAAGAAAATCCCAAGTTAAAAGTTAATGTTACTTTTAATCTTTATACACCAGAAAGACCAGCTATTAATATTTTGGCAAATCTTGTAAAAACTCTGATTTTAAATCAATCAATCTCTCCTCTCTATCCTTTCCCAGATAAAATCATGCCCTGGAACATGCTATCAGCTGAACAACCTATCAATCCTGTTGAAGCGTCTCTTCTTCTTCATGGCCCCATCCCATCAGGCAAGGATATCTTCTTTCTCACTGTCTTTGCAAAGTTTCTGAGAATTGGATTCAGACTCCTTTGATGGCCTTTTTCTCCCCGTTTATTCTAAACTTAAATGTGGCATAATCCAAGAATACATTTTTAACACGTTGATTGCTTTGCTTTTTGCTTTTAGCTGGAAGTAGATTTTGATATCCTTGCTTCAAGTTATAATTATTCTAATTGCATCTTCCTGAAATATATCTTTTCCCTTGATTTTCATATATTTGAGATACACGAAATGGAATGGTTGTATATCCCCAGCCCCTTTTAACTTACTTTGAAGAGCTAGAGTATTGTTTGTGCTCTTAATGATGTCTCTTATATTTCATAATGAGTAAATTGAGCTTTTAGGGGAAAATTGCAAGTATGATTTGCGACTAAAGGCTTAACTAACATAACAGTTTGTTGCTGTGAGGAAAACAAGCTCTGCCATGATAGAGGAGATCCTCTACTTACACAGACCTGTATAGCTTATTGCAGTCCCTCCAACTGTCACATCAGAACTCTTGTAGGAACTTTAAAAATGCAGGTTTCTGGGTCAGGCATCATGGCTTACACCTGTAATCTCAGCACTTTGGAAGGATGAGGTGGGAGGATCACTTGAAGCCAGGAGTTTGTGGCCAGCTTGGACAACATAGCAAGTCCCAGTCTCTAAAAAAGTAAAATACAGGTTCTTGGACTGTAATCTGTGAATGAGATGTGTATGAAGGGATAGGTATGAGGTAAGGCTCAGTAATATATTTTTGTTGTTACTGACATTGAGTTCCTATGTGATTCAGACATGGATCCAAGCTTGGGAGTCACTAGGTTGGGAAAGAGGATTAGATTTTACGATCCTGTAGGTCTTAGTTTGAATTTTAGCTTTCTGTGACCATGACAAGTCATCCTTTCAGAATCTTAGTTTCCCTGTCTACAAAGTGGAGGATAAGTATAACAATTTTGAAAACATTTCTAAAGACATAGAGATAATCCATGCAAAATAGTATAGTGCTAGGCTTAAGAGGGATGTTCAATAAATGCTAGGAGTTATTTCTGACCAGGGTTTTTACCCAAGTCCAAGTCTGCTGCACTAGAGAGGTTGGCTAGGCACAAGGGGTTTACACCTAACCCATAGCCCTCTTTTGTAAAGGTATCTTCAAGGATGAGATATAGAATATACATTGCATGAAACGAGCATTTAACAGATGTTCTACCGTGCTCAGCTCTTTCTTCTTTCCCCTTAATATATTGTTCCTCCTCTTAAAGGAAGGAGCAGGAGACTGACATTTTTGAGACTGTACTTTGGGGCCAGGTACTTTAATTCATTTAGTCCTTACAACAACCTTGTGAGATAGATAATATTGTGTCCATTTAACAGACAAATAAATTGTAGCTCAGAGAAGTTAAAGAATTTCCTCAAAATTCATATATCATAAATGACTGAGTTGGGATCCAAACCAGACTTGTCTTAAGTCTTTGTTCCATCCACTGCTTCAATATTCTTTTCTAAGTGTTCTTCATGCAGCTATTTCAGGTGCCTCTTCTGTTTGTGGAATGTTGACTTTGCCCCCTTACCCTCTTTAACCTGAAGACATCTGCTTTCATTGTTTTGACGTATATGACTTTCTCATTAATTAATTTTTAAGAGCATTTTGTTACTTAAGATAAAAAACTTGAGTCTGTAATTCTAGCTACTCTGGAGCCTGAGGCAGGAGGATTGCTCGAGTCCAGGAGTTTTAATCTACCCTGGATAACATAGGATGAACTCTATCTCATTAAAAAAAACTCTTGGAAACAACTGCACTACCTCATGAAATCTCAAGGAACATAAGATCTAGTAGAAATTATGATTTTATGAAAACACTCATAATGACAGGTGGAATGTGATGAGTGTCAAAACTGAGGCACAAATCAAATTCTTTGGGGTGTTCATAGCTTAGATCATTTCTGGGGAGGTGCAAAATGGGAACAGGTAAGGATGGGGAAGCTGCTGGAGATGGCGGCATCTGAGGTACATGTTAAAGGATGAATGAAATGGGAGGGACTAGAGGAACACAGGGAAGAGAGCGCAGGCTGGGGAAAGGGAAAAGCGAGCAGTGAAGCTAGAAATAATTATTCAGCCATCTGCATACAAGAGGTGTTTATTTAAATAGTAATATAAAGCCCAGACTTTATGCTAGTGATGTGGCATTTACATAAGTGAAAATAGTTAATCCCAGTATAGTGATGATTTACTTAAAAAAACAGGTATCTATAAGGCTAATTTGAGGGAAAATGTCATTATAGATGAATGTTAGAATGTGTTTACTATTTCAATATGGGAATTGATTATTGATTTATCACATTATTTCATTTAGTATGTTAATATAGTAGTGTTTCTGTTTTATAAAGAAAAGCAAAAGTACATGGAGGTCACATAATTGAGAAAAAAGTATTTAATATGCCTCATCTAAGCACACTTATAGTTTTGCTACCATTTTAATGTAAAGTAAAAATTACTATTTGTATTTAAAGTCTACAGGTGTATTTTTTCTCTCTTCTCAATTTTAAGAAGGGAAGTCATAATTCTATGTATATTATTCCCTTATACTTCACTCCTTATGAACTATTTCACCTCCACCAGGTTTGAATCTTTAAAATTGTGTTGAAACCAGGGTTTTCAACCTCAGAATAGAATTTTAAACTTTATGTAACAAGTTTTATGTTGTCCATGACATCATAATTTAAGTTTCTGTTTTGAAAAGGGAACCAGTTCATTCACTGGACTTAAGAAAGGTGGTATTTGAACTAGTTGGCACAATTCATTTGGCTTTCCTGATGCATTTTGGTTTTATGAATAACGCTGCTACTGTAATAGACATCTTATTAAAGTATCTATTTTTCTGACAATAACTTGTCACAAAAGATAGCCATATGATTTCTTGCTTGTTTTGGCAGCTAAATATTTTCTACAAAAAAATGAAATTAAAGCACACCTATAGTATATAATACAGAAAAGTTCCCCTGTCAAATATAATATTGTGGGTTTTTTTGGAAGTGAGTTTTGTTGTTTTTAGTTTTTGATGTAGGAAAAGTTTCCATTTATTAAGTAGATTTTGGATATTATAAATTAACTTATTCTACTTAGAAAAATACACTAATATACTTCATAGTTGAATTATACTTAATTATTAAGTACATCATTACTTTTGCTGTTTTTCCACCAAGAAACAAGTTCAGCATTTTGTTTTTTTAGAACTTTTGTTTTCCATTTTTATCTAGTCGACATCACCTACATTACAAAACAGCACTTTGTTAACTCAGTAAATACTTGAATTGCTCTTTCAGTAGTAGAATGGATTGCCAACCACATTTTTAAAAATTTGTGCCTTACCTTTGTGAAACTAGTTTGTTTGTTTTTCAAGGCAAGGTCTAACTCTGACACCCAGGCTGGAGTTCAGTGGCATGATCACAGGTTACTGTAGCCTCCAACTCCTAGGCTGAGACTATCCTTCTGCCTCGGCCTTCCAAGTAGCTGGGATGGCAAGCTCACACCACCATGCCTGGCTAAATTTTGATTTTTTTTGTAGAGATGAGGTATGGTCTTCAGGCTGCTCTTGAAATCCTGGGCTCAAGCAGTTTTGCTTCCACCTCCCAAAGTGCTGGGATTTATAGGCATGAGCCACTGCACCCAGCCTGATTTAGTATGTTGTCCAAAGTAGAACAGAGCCAGTGATATGGATTTTTCAGGTTAGCCTGGGCTTGGAGAATATCAGCTCAATGGGTTGGCTAGCTGAGCTCCAGAGAGGGTTGGCTCTAATAGTCTGGCAAGCCAAGCCCTGAGAGTGTTGCTGATTTGGTGGGCTGGCAAACCTAGCCCGTGGAATATCTCAGCTGCGAGTCTTGCCTTCTTCCAGCAGTTCTCCCAGTTCTGCTGGCTCAGTCTGGGGTGCACGGGCTCTCTGGCTCCAATGATCCTCTGCAGGGTTCTTGTCTCATCCCCAGGAAGAATGAGGGACATGGACAGCCAGAAAGTAAGCAAGCAGGATTTATTGAGAGGACAGAAAAGCTCCCACAGCCAAAGGGGACCTGAGGGGCTTGCCAATTTGGAGCTGAAACCTAGTGCTTATGTAGCCTTAAGACCAAGCCAATTGGCTAGCATTAGCTGTGACCTGATTGGTTGACACTAGCTGTCCTGATTGGTCAGTACTGAGGACCAATCGGCGGGAGGTAGGGACCTAATAGTGAGCTGATTGGTTGGTACTTGGCAGCGAGCTGATTGGTCTTTTTTTCTATCCCAGCAGTGAGTACTTAAATTCTAGCTTGAGAGGCTCACAGGGAGCTTGTTTACCAATGAGAGTCTATCAGCCTGAGGCCTGCCAGATTAAAACAAGACTCCTACCTATCACCAAACACAAAAATTAACTTTAAATGGATCAAAGACCTAAACGTAAAACCTCAAACTATAAGAACCTTAGAAAATGCAGGAGACACCCTTATGGAAATTGGAACTGGCAACCGATTCCTGATCAAAACCCCAGGTGCCCACGCCATAAGAGATTAGATAGACAAGTGGGATGTCATCAAACTGACAAGCTTCTGCAAAGCCAAAGAAACCATTAAGAGAGTGGGGAGACAGCCCATAGACTGGGAAAAAATATTTGTCAACTGTGTATCTGACAGGGGACCCACCGTGTCTGTCCGCTTAGCCTTTCTCTAGCTATCTCCTCTCTCACCAGCTAACCTATTTGAAAAATATGGACTTTGCTCCTTAAGTTCTTTGAGATAGTCAACTGAGATAATAGTAAGCCTCAATGGTTCATTTATTTGGAATATTAATTTTGACTTAACTGTATAAGGTGATGAGTACCTAAGAAAATAACATTTATTTAGTAGGAGCATGATGAAATATCTGACATAATAATGAAATACGTCATTTAACATTTCTTAGTGCATTTATACTGTGCTCAATTTAAACTGTGTTTTTTGTTTCAGAAACAAATGCAGTAACAACAATAATGCATGTTAATTTACATTACCTTGGTCTGGTACCTAGGATCTTACTATGCAATTAAAAAACTTTTTCAAAATATTAAATATATGGAGGCTAATACTTAGCTCTTGTGTGACATGTAACTTTTGTTTCTTTATAATTTATTTCAGGTGGAATTTATCCAGAGATTTTCCCCCAAAGAAACAGAAAATCTGTCTCTGTGGCAACATATTTCCTTCCAGTCACTATCTACTGAGCTCAGGAAACAAACTGCATATGAGGTCACCAGAGTAGCCACTGCAGAGTGCAGGAAATGGCTGAGCAGCAGTCGTACTTTGGGAGAACTTGAATCTCTGGTAAGATAATTTTGATTTGTTTGATTTATCCAACAGCTGTTTACTGAGCATTGTTTTAGGTATTGGGGATAGGTTGTTTTTGCCCTCTGTCTTTGTTAGAACCTAGTAAGATTTTCAGATGTCTACGTTGTAAAATTTATGAGAAATTTGCTATCATCTTGATTGATATAAATTATATTGGGGGGCACTGTATCCTGGTGTCGCTCAAGACATGGGGACAATGAAACAACATAATGAGATACTTTATTTGCAGTATTTGTGCTGACACATCTCTGAATTAGACAGACATGATTTATCTGTTTGACAAAATACAACCTTCATTTTATGCCAACCTATTCTGAATATTTATTTGCTTTCCTATTTAGAACATTTTCATAAAATAATACAAAATAGTCATCAACTGTGAGAAGTAAAAAATATATACTCTTTGAAAGTTGACTTGGAAATAATAGATATGGTTGAATTGTCCAGTGTACTATTTATTTGCTCATTCATTCATTTAGAAAATATATTTTGAGTATTCTTGTGTGCTAAACTCTGTTCTAGGAATTGAGTTTTTCTTTTCTTTTGTCCTACATTTTTTTTTTTACCACATTTTGTACCACTTTTGTTTATCCAGTCAAGCTTCGATGGGCAGCATGGTTGGTTCCATGTTTTTGCTATTGTGAATACAGCTGCAAAAAACATGCGCGTGCAGGTATCTTTTTTGTAGAACGATTTGAGTTTCTCTGGGGATATTCCCAATAGGGGGATTACTAGGTCATATGGAAGGTCAGTTTCTAGTTCTTTCAGAAATTGCCACACTGTCTTTCAAAGAGGTTGCACTGGTTTGCATTCCCATCAGCGGTGTAGAAGCGTTCCTTTTTCTCTGCTTCCTCACCAGCATCTGTTGTTGTTTGTTTTATTAATGATGGCCATTCTTACTGGGGTTAGGTGGTACCTCAATGTGGTTTTGATTTGCATTTCTCTGATGATTAGTGAGGCTGAGCACTTTTTCATATGTCTGTTGGCTGCCCGTATGTCTTCTTTTGAGAAGTGTCTATTCATGTCTTTTTCTCACTTTTTAATGAGGCTGTTGTTTTTTTTCTTTTCAGCACATTTGAGTGACTTGTAGATCCTAGATGTTAGGCCTTTGTCAGATAAACAGTTGGCAAATATTTTTTCCCACTCTGTGTTCTGTCTCCCTGTTCCCTTGATGGTTTCGTTTCCTATGAAGAAGCTAGTCAGTTTGATGAGATCTTACTTGTCTATCTTATCTCTTATGGTATGGGCACTTGGGGTTTTGATCAGGAATTGGTTCCAATTTCCATAAGGTTGTCTCCTGTATTTTCTAAGATTCTTGTAGTTTGAGGTTTTAAGTTTAGGTTTTTAATCCATTTAGAGTTAATTTTTTGTGTATGGTTATAGGTTGGGATCCTGTTTCAGTCTTATGCATGTGATCAGCTAGATTTCCCAGCACTATTTACTGAATAGGTTCTCCTCTCCCCAGTGGTTGTTGTTGGAGGCTTTGTCAAAGGTGAGTTGGTTGAGAAATTGAGACTTTGCTTCCGGAATCGCTATCCTGTTCCATTGGTCTATATGCCTGTTCCTCTACCAATACCAGGCTGTTTTGATTACTGTAGCCTAATTGTAAAATTTGAAGTCTGGAAGTTTGATGCCTCCTGCTTTGTTTCTTTTGCTAAGGATTGTTTTGGCTATTCGTGGTTGTTGATGCTTACGTATGAATTTCTGTATTATTTCCAGGTCTGAGAAGAATTACGTTGGTAATTTAATGGGTATTGCGTTGAATGTGTAGATTACCTTTGGTATGATGGACCTCATAACAATGTTGATTCCTCCTATCCATGATCATGGAATATTTTTCCATTTGTTTGTGTCTTCTGGGATTTCTTTGAGCAGTGTTTTGTAGTTCTCACTATAAAGGCCTTTCATTTCTCTGGTTAGGAAGATGCTGAAGTATTTAATTTTTTTTTTGTGGCTATTGTGAATGGGATTGTGCTTTTTATTTGGTTCTGTGCCTGCTTGTTGTTGGTGTATAGGATTGGCACTGTCTTTTGCACATTTATTTTGTACCCTGAGACTTAGCCAATTCTTTTATCAGTGCAAGTAGATTTTTGACAGATTCTTTTGGATTTTCAAGGTTATAGAAGCATATCCTCAGCAAAGCGGGATAACTTTACTTCCTCTTTTCCTATTTGGATACCCCTGATTTCCTTCTCTTGACTAATTGCCCTAACTAGGACTTCTAGCACAATGTTGAACAAGAAGCGTGAGAGTGGGCAGCCTTATCTTGTTTGTTTTCAGGGGAAATGTTTCCAGTGTTTGTCCATTTAGCGATATGTTAGCTGTGGGTTTATCATAGATGGCACTTACTATTTTGAGGTATGTTCCTTCTGTACCTAGGTGTTTGATGGTTTTTATCAAGAAGCGATGCTGAATTTTATCAAAAGCTTTTCTGGCATCTAATGAGATAGTCTTGTGGTTCTTGTTTTTACATCTGTGAATATATTTAATTACATTTATGGTCTTGCGAATGTTGAACCAGCCCTGCATCCTAGGGATGAAGCCTACTTGGTCATGGTGGATGATTTTTGAGATGTGTTTTGGATCCGATTTGCTAGAATCTTGTTGAGGATTTTTGTATCTATGTTCATAAGGGATATTGGCCTGTAGTTCTCTCTTTTTGTTGGATCTTTACCTGGTTTGGGTATCACTGTGATGTTAGCTTCATAAAATGATTTGGGGAGAGTTCTGTCTTTCTCAATTGCCTGGAATACTTTCAATAGGATTGGTATCAGCTCCTCCTTATACATTTTGTAGAATTCTGCTGGAAAGCTATCTGGTACAGGGCTGTTTTTTGTAGGTAGTTTTCTTATGGCAGAGTCAATTTCCTGGGTTGTTTTTTGGTGTGTTTAGTGTCTCAATGTCTTGTTTCAACCTGGGGGGGGTTGTGTGATGTTAGAAAGCCCTCCATTTCATTTAGGTTATCAAGTTTCTTTCCATATAGGTGTATATGGTAATCTCTGATAATCTTTTGTATTTCTCTGGGGGTCAGTTGTGATGTGATCTTTTGTAGTTCTGACTGTGTTTTTTGGGCTTTATCTCTCTTTTTCTTGGTCATTCTGGCTAAGTGTCTATCAATCATGTTAATTCTTTCAAAGAACCAGCTTTTTGTTTTGTTGATGTTTTCTATATTTTTGTCTTTTATGTCCTGTATTTGGGTTCTTATTGTGGTGATTTGGATTCTTCTGCTAAAGTTAGGGTTTGGTGGTCTTCTCATTCTAGCTCCCTTAGGTGATTTGTTAAGCTCTCAACTTATGATCTTTCCATTTTCTTGATGTGTGCTCATAGAGATAAATTCCCTTCTGAGAACTGCTGTCATGGCATTCCAGAGGCAAGATGTTTATTCATTTTCATTTGTTTCCAGGAATCTTTTAATTTCTGTTTTGATTTCAGTGTTGACCCAGTAGTTGTTCAGCATCATACTGTTTAGTGTCCATGTCTTTGTGAGCTTTGGGGAAATTTTGTTGGTGTTGGTATTTATTTTTATTCCGCTGTGGTCTGACAAGGTAAATGGCAAAATTTCAACTTTATGGAATTTGTTTATGCTTGATTTATGGCCAAGGATGTGCTCGATCTTGGAGTATCTTCCACGTGGTTTTGAGTAGAATGTATATTCTGTAGTTATTGGGTGGAATAATCTGTAGGTATTAAGTTCATATGCTCGAGTGTGAAGTTTATATTTTAGATAGCTCCTTATTGATTTTTTTTAATTAATCAATATTTTTTATTATGGTTTTGTGGGGTACAGTTAAGGGTT